AATTGATGGGCGTGGCTTGATAGTTAAAATTGGTATTTTTATTATGTGTGTAGTTATTATTAGCAAATTCTCCAAAAATTTTTTGTAACATAATCCAAAATAAAAGATTCATCTTAATTAAATATACATTTATACATACATGTACAACATGATGATACATCATAATATATAGTAAACAGAACAGTTTGTGTGTGAAAAATACACAATTTATTAATTATACTTAATTATTAAGTAGTGCATACATTGTAAATGTACAGTACATAGTTTAAGATATTACACATCCTTTGTCGTTTCGGTTTGTGTTGTCTGGGTTTGTTGGCGTCAAAGATCTTTGACCTTGTGGTCGGTTTACTACCGACATATTCAACGTCTCATCATCATCATCTCCATCTGTAAGTCTAACATTCTTTAAGATTCCCCCTTCTCCTGATACAGTTACTATCTCTTCTGGTTTTGGCTGAGCACCCAATGGTGCAGTGTTAGGTTCTGTATCTTGTACTGCTTATGGTGACTTTATTGCATTGTCAGTAACTATTATTGGGGGAAACAATTATCATCATTTATCAATAGCACTGTCTGGCTGGTTTTTTAGGATTAATAACTTTTTGCTGTATTATACAATCGTGGACTTAAATCTTTGAAAAATTTGCAAAATTGGTATCCTAAAAAACCAGCCACACATATGAGTATTATTTACCATCTATATTTTTGCTTTTATCACTTCCTGATGACGAGATTGATGAGTTTGATAAAGGTCTTCTTTGAGTACCAGTCCCTTTTGTCTCTTGTTCTCTTATGTATTTCAATTGTGGTATTTCAGGTGAAGCCATTGCTAATTCTTTGTGGCCGGTTCTGGACTTTTGTTTAACAGATTGAGTAGGAGGAAGTGAGTACACTACATCATTTTGAGACACTTCATATTGTTCTAGAAAGAAATTAGCACAAAACTAAAAATATATAACTTTTATATTAAGAATCACCAGGGTCATTTCTGTCTGAACCATCCTTGCTTGATTCATCCATCACCTGTTCAGCAGGCTCACTCTCTCCTTTATCTTCAGTTTGTTCAGCGATTGAAGAGAACCTCATTTCGACAACCTGAGGATCACTATGTCCTAGTATAATAATAAGTACATGTAACAAGGACAATGTAAATATGCTAGCTGTGCTCATGAATAGCATTGTACTCTACCAGGAGCCCATAAAAGAAAAAGGGAAGGGTAGGAGCGCGCAACACCCACGCATTTAATTAAAATCACTGTAGCCTGCATAGCTTAATGAGTTTACTATTTTTAGAACAAGGTAAACCACACCCGTTTAATAAAATGGCTACCAGTGTGAAGGTTGCTCTGAAAAAGAAGCTGTTTACATCTCAAGACACTGTACCAGCAACAGATTTATTGAAAGAACTTAAAAAGATAAGTATGCTACCCCAAAAATTCAGCTCCTTACAGTAAAGCCTC